TCGCCTGATACTCTTAGCCTAGGCACCCCTACAATACACGTATCCCTACAATACACGTATCTCTACAATACACGTATCCCTACAATACACGTATCCCTACAATACACGTATCCCTACAATACACGTATCCCCACTACGAGAAACTGAATAAATCATGGACTCCCGTTCCATGTACGTGTCGACAGCCGCACCCGCTCTTTTTCCCACCAGCGTTTATTGTCCGTTCAAAGCAGAGGGTTGCAAGATGAAGTGGCCCAACCAGCCACCAACGGCCAGTGTCTCCCACAGTGATAAAGGCTCCTTACACTGCGTCACTCTCGCCCGTCGACGTGTCCACAAACACCTACAGGCATTCCACACTCACGAAAGCTTTCAGATAAACTTACTGATATCCCCCAGTGGCGACAGCTTCTCACTGATGTGTTCAGAAATTGGGACTTGTCCCGATTGTCAACTGGAGGTTTTCACCCTCTCGGGGGAGTTGACGAGAGCAGGGAAGAGGAGATTAGAGTGGGAAATGAACTTACATCGACGGGAGAAATGTCAGATGCTCGGTACGTTCATAGAGCGTTATGGAGAGTATGTGCGGGAGTGCACTCCTCGGACAATTATTGGGCCTCTGCACGCTGTTCCAAGACTAAGAAAAAGACACATGGAATCTGCGTCGAGCCCAGAGCCTATGTCTCCTTCAGACAACACGGAAACAGACTCAGAGTCTCAAGACGGGACAGCAGTGTCCTGTGCAGAGAAGAACTTAACGGCTCTGGAATCAGCATACAGCGGAGAGCAAGACGGGCCAGCAGTGTCCTATGGACGCAAACCGTCCAAGGGTCGGGAATCAGGGAAGGATTCAGAGGTGTATTCCAAACGCATGGGGGAAGAGATAACTCAGACAGAATCGTCACCCAACATTAAGCTGCCAGTGCAGTCTCTGAAAATGGCATCAGAGCCTAAATTACTGTCGAAAATAGACCCAGAGGTGCCATTGGAAACCCTTGAAGGACCCTCGAGGTCCCGAAGCTGGGCAACTTTGGACCCGGCCGAGATTACTGCAACTGGACCAGGTCGGTGGGGCGTAGTCCGAACCACAAAAACACAATCTGAGCCGACACCTCCGGCACGAGTACTACCCTTTGAGAAAACTAAATTGCCTAATGTAAATCTCCCTAAACATCAAGCAATACTTGACGATCTTCGGGAGCAAAACCAAAATTCCGAAATGAAGGGCGTGAACATCACTGACGAGGGTGATGGCTGGCTTGCGAAGATTTTGAATTAAAGGAAGGAGAATTCAATGTTAGGGATCTTGAAATCGTGCGACAGGTGTGGTGATGCTTTTTTCAGGAAAAATTTTGTTCTCAAGTTCGTTTGTGCAGTTAATATCCATCCAGTTCAAAGATTGCTTCTATTTATTAAGTCTATCGTTTAAAGACGACACGTGGAATGCCTTTTGCAATGGCTCCTTGCCTAAGATACGTGTGGGCTTAACCCCATGAGTCGTCATGAATAGACAGTTTTCGCTGATATAGTAAATTTGCATAAACGCCCTGAAAGCCCTAAGGACCCCGAAGCTGGGTAACCCAGAAAATAGGATGAAAAAAAAAAGAAAAAAAAAACGCAAGTAATTCGCAAGAGAGCCTCTTACGCCTCTCTAAGACTTCAGGCATCACTTCTTACCACTCTGGGTCTTCACATATGTCCTCTACTCTTCTACTTTTCCATTCCCTATCAACTGACACCATAGAAGGGTAGGCCTGGGCACGAGCCGAGCCGGCTCGAGACTTCGGCTCGAGCCACGAGCCCGAGCCGGCTCGAGCCCAAGGTTACACAGGCTCGAGCCGGCTCGAGCCAGGGGCGGGAAAGTCTCGAGCCCGGGCTCGAGCCCGGAGGTCGTTGCAACCGCGAAATACCGAAGGTACCCGAGGAGTGGAAATCTTCAAAATATGTTGCACTCCCACCCTTACTCCTTTTTTTTTTCACCTCAATGACACCTCCGCCGGAGTCCACTACACCCCCTCGAACTTCGCCCTGGATCTTGTCGGTTTAACACCTATCTCTGCATTATCTCTTCTCTACAGTTGTAGGCTATTTATTAATCGGGAATCTATTCAGGATGAGCCATCGCGTCGCCACATTTATTATGGAAAGTATTTACAAGTGCAATCGCCGACATTACCGACCACGCCTACCAACACAAGAAGAGAAACACCAATTAACGCGATGGTTGAAACCTACAAATTGCTCGGTTACTACAATATTGCAGTCCTATGTATCGTCTGATTTCGCTGGGTGATAAGGGTACAAATGATTCTTTCCTATTTCCATGTCTGTTTATATCCGTATCTTTCATATTTCTGCGTCTTTCTTATGTTCCATGGCCTACATAATTATGTAGCGTATGTAGTTATCTTGCAATTCTCACGAGCCGGCTCGAGCCTGTATGCGAGCCGGCTCGAGTCTTGGCGGCTCGAGCCGGCTCGAGCCTCTTTTCTTAAAGCTCGAGCCGGCTCGAGCCTCCTTTGTAAAACCACGAGCCGGCTCGAGCCTACCCCCAGGCTCGGCTCGAGCCGGCTCGTGCCCAGGCCTATAGAAGGGGCGCTGCATTTGAGCCTCCCCGCACTCACATATGGAGTTCTGCGTTTTATGTCACCACCACTTCTGCTGACCCCTATCCGTAACTATCCAGGTCAGCCCTTTTACTATCATATTCGACCACTGTAGGGACTTACACTGACCGTGACTGCTCTTGTGCTACACAAGTCCTCAAACTGCAGGCAGATGCACTTATTACTCCAGCAGAGGCACTTAGCCATGCCACCCCCCGCCGGCTCCCCTTTCCCGAGCTATCCTTTGACAGCCTCCTCGACGTGACCTACCAAAGGCTCCTTCTGGGCGCTGGCTCCCTTGGGGCGCTGAAACCGAATACGCCCTGCACGGGGTGTATAAGGGGACTGGGCGCTAGATCGGTTGGGGACATCAACCGGAACTCAACAACTAGAGCAGCTATGGGCAAGCAGATAAAAAATCATGAGATAGCCTTCGCTGTCCACAACAAGAATATCTACTCCGACCTTAAGGGAACAACCATCGCAAACCCCTCCCCCTCGTTTGAAATTTTAGAGCTCTGCTTCCCTTCACTCTCACAAATTTCACCTCGAAGCCCCGGACAGTGTTGAGAGCACCTACACCTTGGATAGCGCTGGATGCAGTCACGAAATTGCAGCATTTACAAGCAAGATAACTCTCACACCTGGTCGCCACCAAATGCAATAAGTGACCCAGCTAGACGCGTTCACCGGCATCACCACCATAACAACGCCCACCACACCAACCTGCCTCTCCCGATGGCTGGCAAGAGAGGGTCACAAGCATGGCCACAGCATTACTGCCACCAGCATCACAACCAGGATCACGTGAACAACTGTGACCGCAGCTCAAATACTGATATATGCGATTCCAGTTGATAAGACGAAAGCTGAATAATGGCTTTACCACCTTCAGTATCTTTTGGGAAACATAGAGAATGGTCTGGCGAGGAAATGGCAGCTAGTTACCGAGACCGGCTCCGTCCAGCTCAGCAAGTAGCACAGCAACAGCAACTCAAACTAACACTCCAGTAGCCTGTGATGCTGTGACTGACCCACCTCTACCCCCTCTCACACACATGTGCAGAGGCAGCATCTCAAACAGGGCAAAAGAGGACGCGCGGACTCAATTCGGAGAGAGAGGCAACGCCTGCATCATCAAAACCCACAACCAGAGCACCTTCGGTACCCGCAATACCCTCAACAAGAGCACAAGCCGTAGGTAGTGCCGTAGTCCTGTATGCTCCAGCAAATATAAGCCAGGCCAGATGTGAAGGTGAATCAAAGAAGACAACAAGGGCGGGGAGGTTATAGGATTACCTAGGCCAGAGTTGAACCAGCATGAACCGGGGAAGGTGGCGTGCTCCCAGTTATCTACACGAACACGAAGACAGGAAGGAAGATCGACAAATTGCGGCTGGGAAGGAGACTCTTCCACACCACAATATATCACTGGGACCGCCCCACCAACAGCATCTTCGAGATGTGCATTGGAGCCGACGTGAGTTGCTTTTGTGAATTTCTCCTATGATAGTTCCACAAGTGAACCTTGGGCCGTTATTTGGCAAGAGTTTCTACCTACACATCAGTTAGTTTGTTTTCCCCATCTTCTGTGCTCTAAATCTTTTCAAATGTGCCATTGAATTCTCTGGGATGCGGACTATACAGTCCATCTAATGAGTTAAAGATAGGGAGAGTGGGTGAGACCGGGGTGGAGGAGGGGGCCGCGAAGGAGGAGGTCGTGAAGAATACGGGGATGATGATGGAGAGAGGAGCGGATTGGATTGGGGTGAGGGTGAGGGTGAGAATCGGGATGAGGTGGGAATGGGGGGGGTTGGAGGGATGAGGGATTCTGATAAGCATCGGGATGGGGGTAGGGTGGATATCGAGATGGGAATAGCGGGGGAAGGTGAGGGTGAGGATAAGGACAAGGTCGCAAGGATGATTAGTATATTGTGGTGCCCTGGTGGGCGGTGGTGATTCTATTGTGTGAGAATTTCAAACATGACGAAATGAACAAATGAGTATTAGGAATGATATAAGAACTCTGTGATCCTCCGCTGTACATTTTTACCTTTCTCATGATGTAGATTGCCCTCAATTTGATGCCTTTCCGCCTCACCAAACTGACCAGTATTTCTATCGGACTGCTATCGGACGGCAAGGAATATAGATGTAGTGTTTCCATATCATCAACAGCGGGTCCGATAAGAAACTAGTAGTGCCTGAGGTGGCTCGGATACAGGATCTTCATTCTCAGTCAATATCTTCATTTCCATCAACAAGGTTGCATGACCCCTCCGTAAAGGGATGACAATGTGCAGTTCAACTGACTGGCTAAGCAATCTCGAATGCAGTCATAAAACTGTTCTTAGCGGAAAGGAAAAAAGTTGTAGAACAGGAAGAAAAACAAAACACCCATCACGGGGATCGAACCCGCAGCCTTCGCCTGTTTCCAATAGGAGGGCGACGCGCTACCATTGCGCCAAACGGGCCTGAGCTGTGGGGATGAGTGATTACGTAACTTGTATAATTGTCTAGCATGCACGTCTACTTAGGTCACATCATCATTTTCTTTTCGCATTCGATCTTAGATCATAACGAGGCCAGGTATGCTTTCGGGACAAGCTAGCAATCAAGTACCCACTCCCCCAAACGAAATGTTATAAAGGAAACCCGGCTTCTTCTACCCCGATATAAGAGAGCGCTCACAAATCCTGTTTGCCGAAGAAAGTCTTAACAAGATCAACTGTCACCATGCGATCCCCTTCCTTGACCTTCCTAAATGCCTTTGCCCAATCATCCATCTCTGGCCAGCTGCTCCATCTCCTGCCCAAGCTCTTCCTGTCAAAACATACCAACGCCACATACTTGCCTGTTTCCCGTAAGAGGGCACACCTACAGACAGCGATAGGATGGGTCCGCAGCCACATAGGCATCCCAGGCAACGAAAGGGCAGACAAGAGGGCGGCATACGAATCAGCCTTGGGCCGCATTGCCGGGACTCAACAGGTGGCAACAGCAGCGGGTATCCGGACGGCAGCCAAGGCCAGGCGGAAGGACATGCGATCGGAACCAGGGTACGGATCCAACAGATGCCTATGGCATCGACACGCCCTATCGGCCTACACCTGGCTGCGCACCAACCGGGGCCCCCAGAACTACTGGCTCCACTTCGTCCGCAAGGTCGACTCCCCAGCCTGCCCCAACTGCGACCACCCCTCGGAGGACGGCCACCACATCACCTTCGACTGCCCCCACCACCGCCAGCAACGCCAGGAGCTCATCGGGGACGCCAGAACGTGGGAGGATTTAGACAAACCCATTTGGAGAAAGGAGGAGGGAGAGGAGGAGGAGTGGGATGCGGTAGAGGCATACTTCGCCTACCTCTACCGCGCCCTCGCTGGACGATAAGGGAGTAGGCATATTGAATATTTGCTGCTTTGCTTTGTTTTATTCTTTCGCGTCGTCATTTTGTACGCAGCTTGCGCAGGGCGTCAGATTAACTTGACTGTCCCTTGAATCCACCCAGGTTTCCGGGTGGCTCGTCATACGACCCTTAAGGTTGTGCATACGAGTACTGAGTTAAAAAAAAAAAAAAAAAAAAAAAATGCCTGTTTCCTGTTTCTGCTCCGCATTTCCAACATTCTGAAGGAATCTACCACATTCCGCCACGACTGAAGGTTGCCCTTCTCTGTCCTGCAGTGTGTAATTAACCATGGCTTTCTGGTGCCACTTGACGATTCCCATCCCAGTCCCTCTAACCTTTCTCTCTGCCTCCTATTCGCATTCCATGCATTGTTTTACATCCCCCTTCCGGAATTGTGCCTCCTACCAGAATACTTCTCCGCTCCTTTTTTTTCGCCAGCCTGTCTGCCCCTTCATTTCCTTTGATACCCACGTGTGCCTTGACCCAGCTCAAGTGTACTGCATCTTCTCCGGGGGCCCGTATCTCCCCATTCCATACTATGACTACCATTCCCAGGCTCTTGTACGTCTTCTCTTCTGTCTCAGTCTCTCTCAGACCAGCCTGCCCCTACTGAACCGTCTTCGAGTCTGCTGCCATCAGAGAAAACTCCATTCCGATCTTCCACTGATAGCCAGCTGACTCTGCTCCCGCCTTGAGGTTGCGCATACGAATACTGAGTTAAAAAAAAAAAAAGCTCCTGCCTTGAGTTCTACCACTGATACCTCTATCTGGGCACATCTTCCTCCCACCACACTAGTCTAGATAGGCCCACATGCCCTATACATAAGTATGTTCTGGGCCGCTTGTGGCTATCGGCCTGCCATGGCATTTCAGTGCTGACCGTGGCAACCATATGCATATACATGCCAGTCGTGGCAGCCATTGTGCCGGCCGTTGCAACACAATATATTACTGAATTAAGTAATTTTATCTCTAATAATATTGCTGGGGTAGTCTGGTTGGCACAATCCCCTCGTACGCCAACAAGACTATTGCTGGAGACCCATAAAGTCTACCTATACAAGTAACCAACTATCTACGAAACGTATCGACACAAATTGCAACGGGCCTGCTATCATCCTCAGATAATGATCAATAGTAGAAGGATGTCCGTAGTCATGCTCTGAATGTTGCATAATACGTTTCCTAGGACAATAATGAGGCATCTCAGATTGTCCTTGACACAGCAGCATCAAAATCTGGTGCAAAGGCTTTGCAAGTTTAACTGACAGCAAAGGCTGGCAGGTAGTCCTTACGTTACTAATGTAATGGTTTGGTATACTCTGTGTCTGTACGCAATGGGAGCGGTCAAGCATTTCAAAGGAACTCTGTAAAGCCTTTATTGGATACACAAATTTGTAGAAGTTATGGCCTTCTTCTTGCATTGCTCCGCTTCGGCAATCAATAGTAAACCGTTTCTTGTCAACTTTACCTCAATCTTGTGGAAGAGTTTTAACAATAACAAGGTCTCCAACAGCAAATACTTCAACATGTCCGCGGTTGTTACCTATATACCCGTTATCCATTCTTTGAGGGACAAGGGAGCAGTAACTTTGCTAGGATATTTCTCACTGCTCGATGAGACTCAATTCGTTTCTGTGAATCGGTAGGTACCTAGGGGAGATAGGCCAACAGTTTAAAAAGTAGCTAGGATAAGAGCGTGCATAATCTCACCCAAGGGGGCTTGATTTGACTTGGATCAAAGATGATGATGAAGATGACTGCACAGATTTAGAAAAAGACATATCAGCTTCAAATTCTATGATATCGACTTTGAATCCTGCATTGTTCTCAGATTCTTTACTGAGCAGACATCAGATGTCTATTTTATGCCATGGGCGGCACAGTGCCCATGGATCTTTCACCAGAAGAAATCTCTAGTTTCCTTAGCTAGTGGTTTTTTGGGGGGGTAAATCAGTACTCGTATTGAAGCTACTTGCTTATGACGAGGCAGCGCATCCCATCAGGTTAAGCCTGGCAGGATTGTCCAACCGCTGGGCCGCTCCCTGCCCCGTATCTACGTACATGACCAGTTAGCTAGTGGTTTCTTCTTGCCTGCTGTGCCGGCCGTGCCAGTCGTAGAAAAATCATGCCCACCACGGCAGGCATGGCTTGGGCTTGCGCCTGCCACGAGTGGCTCCAGAACGTATAGGCTTCTATAGAGTTCGTTAGACAAAAACAACTGGAAGAAGACCCAGTGGGTCCTGCATTTGGTTCTGCTGTGAATCTAACTATAGTAATTCTTTGAGTCTTTATTGCCACTGGAGTGAATTAACCTAACATTAATATTACAGTCAGATGGAGTCCACATTCACTATACATGCATTCGCCGATAGGCCTCCCGTATCACGCTGCAGACTGACTTATGATAAGGTTAATTTTTCATCATTCATGCAGTGCCCGCATATGGCCTGTTTATTACTTTGATACAAGATAGCGATAAGGTTCAGTTTCAGCCGTGGAACAGAACCACACCATGGTTTTACCAATAGTTAACATTACACAACATGACGTACAATATTCAACATATGGCCACGTCAATATGTGCTACGACCGGCAGGTGAGAACTTTGACGAGCTCAGATATACAGTATCCAATGGTCAGATGCAACACTAGTGGATAATGCAATACTCAGGATTTTTGGATATCTCGATGAGTGGACATTATTTGATAGTAGGGGGCTCAAAAAAGATGCATAAGTGTAGAAATATATAAGGTCCCTAAAAGCCCTAGAATCCTGGGACAATGGAGGTACTCTGATTTATAGTGTTCCTAATATAGACATATCATCAGGTGAGAACTATCAAAAGTCAAAGAAGGTGCATCTATACAGAGATATGTATGAGAAATATAGTAATAGGAGAGAGACAGTTGGAGGTATTTGTGGGAATATGCCTACTAATAAAGAAAAAGATAGAGTGTTCAGAACATTCTCCATGACAAGGGCATTAGAGCTATCGGGTACTACCCTTGTACCTGTACTAGAAGATAGTTCCGACAAAATACCCTATGACAAACAATATGGTGAGTGACGAATATAGAGCTATAGGTTTATCAAACATTAGATGAAATGCCCAATACGGCTTTTGCTAGAATACAGGAGTGATTTTTAGCCCCTTATATTACCGGCCCGTAAGAACAAGCTAGCCTAATTAGTCTGGCGGGCACCGCCTCTGGTAGTCTACGAGCGGCGTACTGGGGTTGAACTTAGCTGAGAAGGCAATTCCAGAGGAGACTGGAGAGATAACATAGAACTTGAATCTTTAAAATAGGTTGAAGTGACGCTGTATCAACCGTTGTTGCGTAGGCTTTTGCTGCTACAGCTCTAATTCTTTTTGTCCTTTACTTTATGGATTTATATATAGTATTAGCTCCAATCCCATATAAATCGACTAGAATAATCGAAGAAACGGCCTATCAACCTAACAATACGTTTTCCAACTCTACACTGACTACCTCCTCTATTACCTGTTGGTGTAGATGCTGCTACGTTTTCTGGTGTGGCTCGTCATACGACCATTAAGGTTGTGCATACGAGTGCTGAGTTCAAAAAAAAAAAAGAAAAAAAATGCTGCTACGTTTGAATATAGATAGTTAATTCTTGGCAGGACCTAATCACGTGTCCGCCCTCGCCAAGAGTGCTAGTGTGCAAGATGAAATAATAACTTACTTTGTTCCAATTGAAATTAGCAACTTCATTGCCAATAACAAGGTACTTAACTGAGGTTGACGACGATGTAGTCACCCTGATTTGGCAACGATCGCAAATTACAAATAAGGGTAAAAAAATTAGCAGGTGAAAAGCGGGAATTGAACTCAGTTTATGGATCACTGTAGCATGGGTTCTGAATTGGATGGTGCGCCGGCATCGTCGTACGGGGTTGAACTTAGCTGAGAAGGCAATTCTGGAGAAGACTGAAGAGATAACATGGAACTTGAATCTTCAGAAAAGGTTGAAGTGAAGCTTCTACTCATTCTGCAAGATTCATGATCTATTAATAGTAGTCCCTAGTGTAGAGGGGTTAT